AAAGGCATCAATTCTTCTACGATCTATACAGGGTCCCTATGATTCAGAAACAACTCTCCAGCACTTAACAACAACACCCAGTAGTTATTGAGGGTTCTAGTCTCTCCACACCCTTGTTAGTATTTGTTGTTTTCTGTGTTTTTTTTAAACTTTGCTATTAATGCTAGGGTGAGTTGATATCTCGTTGTAGTTTTGGTTTACACTTCTGTGTGGTGATGTAGGGTAAGCACTAAATTGCTAACATCAAGGTTGGTAGTCCAAACCCACGAGCCACTCCTCGGAAACCCTACACAAAGCTGCTGAGTTGGAACTAACTTGATAGTCCTTAACTACAAAAATAACAATGGTTAATGACCGTGAGCATTTCTTCATATGTTTGTTGGGTGCCTGAATGTCTTTGGTGAAGTGTCTGTTTATACTTCTGCCCATTTTTAAATTGGATTAGTTGTCTTTTTCCTATTGAGATATTGAAGTTTTCTATAAATTTTAGAAATTATGTCATTGCCCAATTTTTCCCCCCAGTCTGTGAGTTCTTTTTACTCTTTTGGTAAAAATTTTGATGCAAATAGTGCTTAATTTTTAAGAGGTCCCAGTCATCTCATTTGTTTTCTGTTGTTTGTATGTTTTCAATTATGTTTGACGTGTAGTTAAGCCATGCATTAGGGCCCCTAGGTTTGTCCCTGTTTGATCATGAGAATTCTAGGTTTGACAATTCAGACTTTGAGCTATCTTAAGTTTGTTTTTGTATATATGGTATGATATATGGTTCCTGGTGTGGTGCTGTGGGTTAATGCGCCAGACTATAAAGCCGTTTGAACTGCAAAGTCGGTGGGTCAAGCTCACCAGCTACTCCTTGGAAACCCTATACAGGGGTGCTCTGGTTTGGAATTGACTCAACAGCACTGCACAACAACACATGGGTCCCACTTCATTTTTCTGCAAATGGAGATCCAGTTTTTCCAGCATCACTTGTTAAAAAGACTTACTTCTCTTCCCCATTTAATGAGTTTTGACCCTTTTTCAAATATAAGCTCTTCATTTCCCCCATTTTTTGATACTTATATTTCCTGGTGTGGTGTTATAGGATAAGCACTGGACTGCTAAGTGAAAAGTCACTAGTTCAAACTCACCAGCCACTCCTAGAAAACCCTATACAGGGTTGTTATAAGTCAGAACCAACCCGCCAGCACTTAACAACAACAGCAATGTATTTTCCCCACTCATTTATATTTCCCTACTTGTTGTTGTTGTTAAGTGCCATCGAATCAATTCCGACCCATAGTGACCTTGTGTAGGGTTTCCAAGGAGCAGCTGGTGAGCTTGAACCACCAACCTTGCAGTTCAAATGACTTTGCAGTCTGACTCATTAGCCCACAGTGCCACACCAGCTCACCCAAAAATTAAACTGGAAGCGCCTTGCTTTTTCCAGAGAGTCATTCCCTCTGGTAATTCCTCCTTTTCATTATCCCCTTCCTGCCATTTAAGAGGAGCCCTGGTAATACCAATGGTTAAAACATTCGGTTGCTAATTGGAAAGTTGGCAGTTTGAGCCCACTAGCCTCTCCATGAGAGAAGATGAGGCAATCTGCTTCCATATGGAAACCATATGGGGCAGTTCTACTTTGCCCTGGAGGGTTGCTGTGAGTCAGAATTGATTCCATGGCATGGGTGATGGGGCATTTAGAATGTGTCCTTAGAGCTCTCTCCTACAATCATAAAGTTTACTGAGAGTTTCATATGAGGCCTTCCTTTGGATCCATGCCCTCATCCAGCACACACTACACGGAGTCTCGGAAACACAGAGAAAGAAAGGCATAGTTCCTTCTCATAAAAGGCTCCTTCTATGATGGTTTTCCTTCTAGAGAAAGGCAGGCATGTTAATTAACACTTATTGGAAACTAAGAAGGAGCTCTGAGGCAGTGCTGTAGGATAAGCACTGGACTGCTAACCTCAAGGTCAGTGGTTCAAGTTCACCAGCTGCTCCTCGGAAACCCTATACAGGGTTGCTATGAATCAGAACTGACTCAATGGCATACAATGACAAACAACAGCAACATAATCTCACATGATAATCATTACACTGGATAGTTGTGGAAGGTTGTCAGTAGGTGAAGGAAGGCTGGAGCCAGTGGAAGGATGAGATGACCCAGAGAGAGTGGAGAAGAAAAAGGGTCTAGAACACAGGAATTGAGAGGCTAGGATCAGACAGAAGTGTGGGGAGCAGTCTTTCCAGAGAACTGTCAGCACCTGGACTCTGGAGTCAGGTACCTCCCCATTGGGTGACTTTGGGTGAGTTCTTTAATTTACTAAGGCTGTTGTGAGGATTATGTAAGGCACTACCTGTAAACTTCTTAGAATAATCTAGTTTTATAGTAATGTGCTGAGAATGTTGGCTAATTGAGGCAGGGAAAGTAGTAGAGTTCCAGAAGCTAAGGGGAGGGAACGGTACAGAGAGATTGTGCACAACATTGCCGAGAGGTCAAATCAGATGAGTCCTGAGAAATTATCTTCTGAATTTGTGACACAGGGACCATGAATGACCTTTCCAGAGTCCGTGTAGTTGAGTAGAAAAGTCAAAAGTCAGATTGCAGTGAACTGAAGAGGGATTGGGAAGTGTCTTCGACTTGGCAAACTACAGACTGTGGACCAAATCCGGCCTGCTGCCTGTTTTTATAAATAAAGTTTTCTTGAAACACAGCCATATCCATTTATTTATGTGTGTCTTATGGTTGCCTTTGGAAAAAGACATGGTGATCCACTTGTGAAAACCAGCCAATGAAAATTGCATATACCACAATGGTCTGATCCACAATTGGTCATGGGATGACAGAGGGCCAGGCAGTATTTTGTCATTGTGTGTCGGGTTTCCATGATTTGGGGATCAACTTGAGGACGGCTAACAAAAGCAATAACATGGCTGTTCTTCTGCTATCATGGAAGAGTTTGGTAGTTGTAACAGACCACATAGCTGACAATATTTACTAACTGGCCCTTTTTCAGAAGTTTGCTGACCCCTGGATTAGAATAAGACCTCTGTTTATTCAAGAACTTTGGTCTTCTTATAGAATCTTTTCATTTCTGGTGAGGTCATTAGGTAGATGGTGGTGAGGTCATTAGGCAGATGATAGGTCTATTCCTACCTTGTGGAATAGACCCAGTGCATAACAATAATAATGATGAAGAAAGGGGAAGAAGAGATGGAGAGGGGAGGAGAGGGAAGAGAATAAATTAATTTCTACTTTCCTCTAATTAGAAGGATCCAGTGGTGCAGTGGATTAAGCATTGGGTTACTGGTGGCAAGGTCAGCTGTTCAAGCCCACCGGTCATTACATGGGTAAAGATGTGACCGTCTGCTCCCATGAAGATTTACAGCCACAGAAACCTTAAGGACCAGTTCCTCTCTGCTTTATAGGATCTCTATGAGTTGGAATCAACTCAATGGCAATAGGTTTTTGGTTTCTGTAACTAGTGATATTGTCGTCTCTGTTTCTTACAACCTTAGAAAAAAGGGCTGTAAATTACCCCCCAAGCCTACCCAAAAAGCTGCCCACTGGTAAATAGTCATGTGATGTCATTGTTAAGTGCCACTGAGTCAGTTCCAACTCATAGTGGCCCTGTATAGGGTTTCCAAGAAGCGGCTGGTGAGTTTTACCTGCCGACCTTTGCAGTCCAGTGCTTTATCCCACAGTGCCACACCAAGACTCCAAATAGTCATGTAACTGATGATAATACACCTTCTAAGATAGCCGTAAACTATAAAGTCTCTTAGGTTTAAAATTTCCTCAGTTATGCAGGAAAATGCCCATAATCTGATGCTTTTCAAGTGGTAATTTACTTGCAGGACTGAGTGTCAATATTTATTTCAGATCAAAGAGAAAATCTGTGTCATCCGAACTTACCCTGTGCCCAGCTTTGTGCTGAAACAACCTCACTCATTCCCACTCTAACCTGCGGATGGCATTTCTCCATTTCCCATGTGGGGAACTAGGGTTCGCCAGTGTTAAACACTCTCTCTCTACAGACCCTCATCAAGTGGGTATATAACTGGAGACTTGAACAGACGTCTCCTTGATTCTAGGACCCTGAGCTGCTTCCATAGCCCCATGATGTCACTCGGTCCTCTTGTGGCCACCAACAGCTTCAGAATGGGATCCTTTTGCTTATTCTAGGAGGATTCTAACACATAATGGGTTCTCTACCCATTTCAAACCCTGATGTCTGAAAATTCACAGTAAGAGTTGACTGCTTAGGATGTGTCTCGGGTAGATTGTTGCAAGACCTATTCCTCAACCTGTTCCCTATGCCTCCAAGTCCCATGGTCCACATGATTCTACACAGAGGTAGCTCTTATTTCTTGAAAATCATGCTGCTTTTTGATACATTTGGCCAACCTCATTTAACACTTGGACTTCACCTTGTTTAGTAGCATTAAGTTCTCAAGTTTTGGTCAAGAACAGTGACCCAAGGAGACAGCAATGGGAAATAGCAACTTCCCCTGTTCCCATCTATACATGCCCACATGATCAATGCACAAGCACACAGCTCACATGTAACTTCTTTCTTCTTTGAGGCTGCCCTTGAAAATGTAGTCTTTCACTACCTGGATCTCTGCAGCCACCAAATGTGAGCTAAAAGACAACTCAGAGGCCATCCACCCAATCAGAGAGGAAACCAAGGCCCAGAGAGGTTTGACAACTTGTCTAGGCTCACACAGCTCAGCAACAGCAGATCCTGAATCAGGAAGGTCCTGGGATCTCCCAGCTCTCAGCCTGGAGCTCATCCCATGGCTGCCTCCTGCCTGCCTCTGCCAAGAAGGCAGGGGCTGTTCCCCTGCTTAGGGAGTGCTTACCTTGGAGCCCTTTTCATGAATGAGACCAGATGCAGAACTCTACATTGATCATTTCTGTCCCTCCCCTTTCTGCTTTCTGTTAAAGGCAACCCCCCCACCCCCACCCCCAGCTCCCAGCTGGCTCCTGTCCCCTCCCCCAGCTGGGAGAAGTTATTACATGAAGAGATCAGCTTACCAGTTTTCTTCAGAGCCTGGGCTGAGCTTGGAGCTCCGTCTGTCCGGGTAGTACAGTGAGAGAGAGCAGAGACATTCAGCGCGGTGCCTAGCGGAACTCCAGGGCTGGAATTCCGAGACACAAGTGCATCTGCTAGCTGTTAGCACTTGGCAGACGGAGTTCTCTTCTAGGGCAGTTCTAACTTTGGGTAATAATGTTTGTCAGCTACCTGATATTAACATTGCTCCACGTTCAAACAGCAGTGTTAGCGAGACCTGGGGGAGAGGTAAGCCAAATAAAATATCTTGTCAGAAGTTGTATTTTTGTCAGCATTATATTTCCTCTTCTATCTGCAAAGAGGGATTGGGGGATGGCCGCGAAGAGGGGTCGGGAAATGGCTAATGTTTTATTTTAGTTTTTAGGCTTGCCTTTTCTTAGATGAAGGCTTCTTTTCTTCTTGATGAATCTGGTAATTTCTAAAATCTCATTCTGAGCTATCTGTGTGATTTCCATACTGGGGAGCCAGGTGTGTCCTTGGTGACAGATACCTGGAGCAGGCAGTTTTCTCCTGGCGTTATAAATAAATAAATAAATAAATGGCATGTCAGAATGTCAGATACTGGTAGGAACTGGTACCTATTGAGAGTTTTTCTCCAGTACGGCAAAGCGAATATTCATGCTACAAGAATTGCTTTCCTTTCCTGCTTTTGCACTACATTTTTCTCTTTTATTGCTTTGATGTGCTGGACGGGGGACCCAGTGCTTAATCATAGGTTTGAAGGGGATAATGATATATAGCAGAGGCAGGGGTGCGCCCCAAATAGGCTGTAAGAGGCGTCGTTTAAGACCCATGAGGGCACTTTATTCTTAATGGTTTAACTAATGGGAATGCTGTGGCTTCATACAGTAAGTACTGGACTGCGAGCCAGAAGGTAGATGGTTCGAGCCTGCCAGCCACTCCACAAGAGAAAGATGAGGCTTTCTGCTCCCGCAAAGATTTAAAAAGTCTGGGAAACCCTGTATAGAGTCACTATGAGTCGGAACTGACTCAAAGGCACTTAACAACAATTGTTTAGTTACTATGTTTACTGGATACACCCCAGAGCACCATAGATGCCTCTTGGCACCAGTTTTTGGACACAAGTAAAGAGACCAGAAGGAGTGATGACACCAAGTCTGAGCGGGAAGCACAAGGTGTATTTACCGTCATCTACAAGAAATGTGCCTGGTCCAATCTTGGATTTGTTACCCTGATTAAAATCTGGGGCACTGATTGCTGAGGCGCTGAAGGACAACCTTGGACCCATCTGCCGCTATGAAAAGCTAAGTGAGAAGTTTATCTCCTAAAAGGGCCATGGGGCCATTCAGCAGCTTTGCCTTTTGTTAGTCCTCTGAGCAGGTTCTGACAGCCTAATGCAATTACTTTCCCTTTTCCAGTGGAAGCAGGAGTGCCTCCAAATCCCAGGCTGCAAGCCTGGCTGTGGTTTCAGCAGGCTTGTTACTCTGCTTAAAATAGACGTGGGACTCGGAGGTGTGCAGCAACGGGTCATTTGTTTTAGGCTTTTAGCCAATTACTTACGCATGTCCTCTGCTGTGAGCAGTCTGGACCTATGGCGAGGACTGAGGTCTTGAATGGGGAGCCTGAGGAACTGAATGGGTTAGTGATGCTGGTAGCTGAAAGCTGCCCATTGCCCTTTAGTTGTTATTGGAGTTCGCAACTTCCCTGTTGATTTTTTACTGTGTGGAGCAAATGACAGATGGGCCGGCCTTGCTCAGCCTGGAGCACTTAGGCATTTTAGAGGAGAGCTCATATGGAAAATATTTCTACCACCGCTGCATGTGCATTTGGTCTGGGGAGACCCCCATACAGAGCAAATCACAGTGCCCCGGCAACCCCTTAGCAGCGTGCCAATTACTCTTATTAACGGCAAGACTCGGAGCAGGCTCAGTTACCTGCACACAGCTGGCTCCCAGGGACCGCCACTCTGGAATGGGGGTGCCCCAAACCCTGAGTCACATGCAGAGGGGTAAGCAAAGAGCACTAGTTCACTTTATAGTCAGCGGAACAGATGAAAAAGAAAGGGGATTACACAGGATCACCCAAACCCAGATACAGTTCAAACAACACTCGGGAGAGGCAGGCAAGCAGAGCTTCTGTTTTGTGAGTTGAAGTGTGTGTGCTTAAATAGCCAGAAAACACAATCCGAAGTGGCAAGGAGTCTGCCTTCCGGCTCTTTTGTTCTATTCTGCCAAGCCAGAGGACTTTACATCGCTTTTCTTCTTTCTTCTCCTTTTTCCTTATCCTCCCTTCTTTCTTCTGCTGTGTGTATGTACTCATATGTAAGTGTTGTTTGTATTGTCTTTGTATATGTACAAGTGGAGCTCAAAAAGTTTGTGGGAAAATTCCATTATCTTTCCATTTCATTTTTTTACAAACTTTTTGAAGCCCCCTCATGTATGTATATTGTCTGTGTTTAGGTTTGTCTGTGTGTGTGTGTCAATGCAAAACTTTAGCTCTGTCTAAATTGTATTCTTAGGAAATTGTACAATTAGGTGGCCTTTCCCCTTTCTGGAAATGAAAAGATGAGGAAGGAACGTAAATGAATCCCCTCTTGCTCCTGAAAAAAAAAAAAGAATGCAGATTATACAGAGTTTTGAAGAATGTGGCTTGTATTTATAAGCACCTCTTCTTTCTTGCTGTGTTACTTACAAAATGTGCCCATAAACATGGGGCGACATCCTGAAGTCACCAAGATTTTCTTTTTCTGTGCCAGCCGATTTCCTTGCAGGCTTCCCTTTGCACGTTCATAAAAATGCATGAGGAAAAGAAAGAGAGGGGAATAAAGAGTGTACAACTTGTGGTGTTTGGCTGACTGAGGTCTCAGTGTGGGGCTGGACACGAAGCAGCAAGGCTTGTAGGCAGGTCCTAGTAACCTTTCCAAGGTGACGTCCTTCCAGATAACAGAGCTGACAGGTGGTGGGATGCGAGGTGAAGCAAACCCTCTCTCCCACCCTGTTGCTGGCACTGTTGGCATCCAGGCCTGTCAGCTCAAGGACTGAACCACTACTACAGTTTCAGTGCCTGGACTTGAGAACAGACACAGGAAAAAGCTAGTCCTTCTTTTAGTTTCTGGTAGCAGGAGCATTAAACTGAGGTTATTGGAAAGCTTTTTGCCCTTCATGATTAGAATGTTGTTGTTGTTAAAAGCTGTCGAGTCTGTTCCAATTCATGTTGTTGTTAAGTATCACCAAGTCAGTTCCAAGTCACAGCGACCCTGTATAGGGTTTCCAAGGTGCAGCTGGTGGTTTTGAACTGCTGACCTTGTGGTGCACAGTCTGGTGCTGATCCTACAGCGTCACACCAGGAGTCCTGTTGTTCCAGATCATAGCGACCCTGTATAGAGTTTCCGAGGTGCAGCTGGTGGGTTTGAACCACTGATCTTATGTTCAAACCGACCTTGCAGTCCAGTGCTTATCCTACAGCACCACACCAGGACTCCATGATTAGAATAGCAACAGCATGTATGTAAACAGATTCGATGATTCCTCTAAGAACAATAAAGTCAGACTGGAAAGTTGGTACATTTGTCAGTGTAGGGAGAGTGAGTGCTAGGATTCAGGTTTATTGCAGGATGCAGAACAGTGTGGGGGGGGGGAGGGGGATGCACATGCACATGCACACACAAGAGCACACTCACGTGCACACCTGTGTGTATATTTATCCCTGAACTTAAACTTATCTTCTCATGAGATACAATCATATGTGGGGAAGGTGAAGGAAAGACTACTGGAGATTTGTAAGGTTCCATGTATCATAGGGAGGTAAATCCTAGAAGTAGAAAAGCTGGGTCAGAAGAGGTGCTTATTTTCATTATAACAGAGGAAATTAAACCTATTGAGAAAACCTATGAACTTTTAAAATAAATATCGTCACTGCTTGTGGTTGTTGGGTTCCCTTTTTGGGATGATGAAAATATTTTAAAGATAGGTAATGGTGGTGGTTGTCCCATTGTGAATATCATAAATACCACTGATTGCTAACAAGGTGTATTTTATGGTGTAGGAATGGTAGCTTCAGAAAAATAGAAAATAAATAATAATTATCTGTTTATCCAGCTTCTCCATTTCTAAGATTTTTTATCGATAGAGCCACTTTAAATGTGCAAAATGCTCTATGAGCAACAATTTCACTGTTCCCATGGAGGACACTATCCAGGTCACCAAAATGATTGAGATGCCGCTATGTGTGTTGGTATGATCGTACAGTACAGTGTGTACTCATGTGAAGTGACCACAAGAGTATGTTGTGAAGTAGAAAAGCAATCTGCAGAACAGTGTGTGTAGAATGCTGCCATGTGGGTAAAGCATGTTAACATACGGGGGGAAGGGGGTTGGCACTTCAAAAACTTGTGGAAAAATTCCAGTATCTTTTCATTCTATGTTTCTGTGAACGTTTCATTCTATGTTTCTTTGAAGCCATCTCATCTGTGTTTGTATGTCCTCTCTCTAGAAGGATATCCAAGGAAATGGAGAGGAAAATGGGGTGGGATGAGGACAGGTGAGAGACGAAAGTTTCACTGTACAGCTTTGATACCTTTTCAGTTGTGTGGCTTGCTGTGGCACTGTGGGTTCATGCGCTGGGCTGCAAAGTCGATTTGAACCTCAAGGTCAGCGGTTCAAGCTCACCAGCTGCTCATTGGAAATGCTATACAGGGTCACTATCTGTCGGAACTGACTCAACGGCACTTAACCGCCAACCACAATCTAGTGAAAAATAATAACAAAATAAGTGATAAACTAAGTCACTTAGGAATACATTAAACAATTGATATAACAGATAATGTTCTCAGTAGTGGTTCCTAGCACATGCTGAGATGACATGTACATAGGTAATAAGCACCGCTCAATGAAAGGATGCCCTTAGAGCTAAAAGGATGCTCTTTAGGCTCATCCACACATTTAACACCTGTTCATGGCATATATATTTGTTTCCTTTGTAAACAGAAGATACTATTAGTAGCTACTTTAAAAGGTGGTTGTTGTATTGTTGTTGTTAAGTGCCATCAAGTTGGATCTGACCCGTAGCAACCCTGTATAGGGTTACCAAGGAGCAGCTGGTGAACTTGAACCACTGACCTTGTGGTTCAAATGACTTTGCAGTCCAGCACATTAGCCCACAGCACCGTACCAGGACTCCTTAAAGGGTGTTTGGGAGGATTCAATGTGATCATTTATAAAGAGCTCCTAGCTTGGTGTGTCAGAGATGAAGCTAACAGACGCCACAAA